TCATATTAGATGCACCATCACTTCCAAAATGAATTATATTGTCACAAGATATCTCATTTAAGTTACAAAATGACATGATATGGTTATAAATGTTTTCTCCAACAGTTGAGTCTAGATTAATCATGCCCAAATATCTCATAATTGGCATATTATTAGCAATGTATTTTCCCACAATTGCCAAATATTTATCATGATCAATACTATTGGCTTCATCAATCATTAAGCTCCAATAAGATGAAGAATTTAATTCTTCAATCAATGACTGTTTTATCACAAAGGCTATACTATCTAAAAAATCAAACCCAGCCATGGGATTTTTATAACTTGCATATTTTGATCTAGATGGTAATGGTTTTTCTAAGGAAGCAAGTTTTAAAGTAGAAATACTCTCACTAATTATCAATTCATCATTATTTTCAATTTGTAGTGATATTAAATTACATAAATCAGGATAAGTATTTAAGGAAAGATTTTGTTTAGATAAAAAATAAACATTTCTTATTAATGAAATAATGAATAATTTTTCTTTATCTAATAGTTCAGATACATTGTCGGAGGCCTCTGATAATGTATCTGAACTATTTGATTCACTATTATCTGAGTTAAGAAATTGTAATTCTGATTCTTTATGTTCATGGGTATTTAAATGTCGCTTAATTCCATCCAGTCTTAAACTTTCTGTGCCTAGTGCAAATTGTGTACTCCCATTTCTATTTCTACAGAGTTTACAAAAAAGAATAGTATTTTCATTAATTACTTCAGTTTCTAACCATGTATAATGAAGAAACCATTTTTTATTAACTTTTTTTCTAGAATGTAAATATTCTGGTTCATTTTCTGATTGTTGTAAATTGTGATTATTAAACATTTTTATATGAATTAATTAATATTAATGAATTAATTTGATCAATTTTGATTTAATTTATTCAACCAGAGTATTTATTAAAAAAAATTGTACATATTCAATCATAGATAGATGTCAAGCTGAAATTGTTCTTGGAAAAAAAGATAAAGCTTCGGCTTTATGTTTATTTTTAGCTCGGGTGTTCGGATATATAAATTTACGCACATCCTAAAACAAATATTAATTTTTTTTGTTACACGGATTTTTTGCACAAATTTTTACCAATGTTTATTGGTTGATTCTTGTGTAATCAAAACCCGCACATTCCGCACATTGAATTTTATACACTGGTGCTCTGTGGCAAACCATAAAATTTACTAAAAAGGCAATGTCACAGAAGTGCTACTTTACGGTAATATCTCAGATCAGATTTCGGATTTCAGATCAGATCAGATCAGATTCAATATTTAAAGAACCAGATCAGATCAGATCAGATTTCCACCAAATCCAATCTGATCTGATCTGTTCAGAGCCTTAGACATAACAAACAATTGCATCACCTGGGTAGTAATAATACCAAGGCCATGTAAAAATGAAACTGTGTCTACCCAGATCTCTGGGGCTCACAATAATCAATTATGGTTCCTTATGAATAATAAATCTGATGTTGATCACAGGGTCAGATTTAATTGAAATTTCCTATCACAAACATGCAAGCGTCATGCAATTGCACACCTCAAACCATGAGATTTTCCATTCCTACAGAAGAGGTAAATTGAACATGTTGGAAGGCTTTGGTCAAAACTTTTCTTATCCTCCCCTCAGACCAGGCTGGCTGTTTCCATACAAGCATTGATCATTGACAAGAGTTGGCATCTGTGTGATATACCTCTCTAGAATAAAGTTGATATCTGCAACTCAGGAGGTTGCAACCTGGGTTGTTGCTATTTTGGATTTTCCCTGAATTCAGAGTTGAGTCCTGAGTTGCTGTCTGGTCAAGTGGCATGCCTACTCACCAACAACCCTACCCCCATTTATTTAAATAACAGGTTCAGTTGGTCAAATAAAATTAAAGAGAAATAGAAAATTTGGGAAAATGATTAATTTATACAAAACATATCAAAATCTGAACCATTTTATAACTTTTTCCTTGTTGGCCATATTGCTGACAAAGATATATATAATCATGCAATAATTTTAATCTATAGGATAGAGGACTGATTGGGCAAAAACCTACCCAGTCCCATACTCAAAAAATTATAAATTGGTTAGTGTCAAAAAAAAACAGAGAATTTAGGAAAATGATTATACAAACAGACACTATTTTACAACTTTCCTTCTAACATCAGAGTTCAAATGCAATTTCAGGGCCACAAACCCTTCTCTGAATTGTAATCTCCTCTTGATATTCCTCCAGAGTTGCGACAGCTTGGTCACAGAGCCAACCTTACCCTAGAGTAGGATTGTTGCAGGCAACTTTTCGGCCAGCATGCCAGCAGTTTTCTCTGGTCTGGTGCTGTGAGGGAAGATTAGTGAAAGTGTCATTGACAATTGGTGCAGTCTTGATGCATTCCAGGGCATTGCACCCCTCCCCTAGAATTTAACAGCATTGTTGTATCATCGAGGGGTCGCAAGTCAGATTAACCTTATGTACAC